TTTGCTCTTTTTAATTTTTAATCTTCCAGGAAGTTGAAGGACACCAGGTGCAGCATTTAGTGTGTGTTCTGAAACGGAGTCACTGCCATATAAAGTACAGAAGAGGTATAAAAGTACAGGGAATAGTTACACAGTGTAGAGCTCAAGGGTGGGTGGAGGCTACTCATAATAGACCCATTATATACAACAAGGTGAAATAATGACTGCAGTAATCTCTTATACCCGATATAACATTATTATAGTGGTGCTATCACAGCAGTCTCTACATCTAATAACTAACAGTGAGCTCTGAAACTGTTTGTTCATTGTGATTGTAATCTTTTGTTAGATTCTAATATTGCTGAGGTATACAATGGGGAATATCTATGCACACAATGAAGAATAGGGGAGGAAACAGAACAAGAACTCTTTGTGTATAACGTGAATGAATGGTTAAAAAAGATTTACCTTCCAACAGTTGATAATTGTCAAGGTTCATGTTAGGAAGAAAAATATAAATGTCACACTGAAACTCCTTTTGTAGGATTATTAAATAGTACATTAGATATTCTTCAGATGGTTTGATCGATCCATTAAGACTTCCTCCAATTGTTGAATTGGTAGTTTGCATTTACTAGTGTTTTTTAAATTTTCCCTTCCTCTCCTGAAGATAGTGACTTAATGGTAAGGTGCACAACCACAAGGCATTTGTCAATGTTTCACCAGCTGGGTCATTCCTCTTGCAGACTGAAACAGGAACACTGCTGGCAGGCTATTTTACCATTTCACACCACAGGGAATACAATCTAATTCTCTCCCAATGTCCACACACACACACACACACACACACAAACCTTCCAACAACCAATAATAGATAGCAGTATAGAGTAGAAAACTTGGATGATTTTGCCCTTTAGTGTTCCCGAAACCAATTAAAGCATCTTTCCTGCCACTTTAAAGTTCACCTCACTGACTTTTATTCAGGAACTGAATCTGGAGCCAGTTGGTCTGTCTGCCTAAATTACAATCCTGTTTTTTTTAAACTGAATAAACCACTGCAACAACTGCAAAATTTATTTCAGAGATAGTAGGAACTGCAGATGCTGGAGAATTTGAGATAACAAAGTGTAGAGCTGGATGAACACAGCAGGCCAAGCAGCATCAGAGGAGCAGGAAGGCTGACGTTTTGGGCCTAA